TAACTGGCATGAGATGGTATCTCATTATGGTTTTGATTTGCATTTCTCTAATGACCAGTGATGATGAACTTTCTAAAAATATATTTGTTGGCTGCATAAATGTCTTCTTTTCAGAAGTGTCTGTTCATAACTTTCGGTCACTTTTTGATGGGGTTATTTTGTCTTGTAAATTTGTTTAAGTTCTTTGTAGATTCTGTATATTAGCCCTTAGTCACATGGACAGATTGCAGACATTTTCTCCCATTCTGTAGGTTGCCTTTTCACTCTAATGATAGTTTCTTTTGCTGTGCAGAAGCTCTTTAGTTTAATTAGATCCCATGTATCAATTTTGGCTTTTGTTGCCATTGCTTTGGTGTTTTAGTCCTGAAGTCTTTGTCCTTGCCTGTCTCCTAAATGGTATTGTCTAGGTTTTCTTCTAGGGTTTCTATGGTTTTAAGTCTCATGTTTAAGTCTTTAGTCCATCTTGAGTTAATTTTTGTATAAGGTGTAAGGAAGGAATCCAGTTTTAGCTTTTTGCGTATGGCTAGCCAGTTTTCCCAGCACCATTTATTAAATAGGGAATCCTTTCTCCATTGCTTGTTTGTGTCAGGTGTATTAAAGATCAGATGGTTGTAGATGGGTGGTGTTATTTCTGAGGCCTCTGTTCTGTTCAGTTGGTCTGTATATCTGTTTTGGTACCAGTACCATGCTATTTATCTTACTGTAGCCTGGTAGTATAGTTTGAAGTCAGGTAGCGTGATGCCTCAAACTTCATTCCTTTTGCTTAGGATTGTCTCTTTGCTACGTGGGCTCTTTTTTGGTTCCATATGAAACTGAAAGTAGTTTTTTCCAGTTTGGTGAAGAAAGTCAGTGGTAGCTTGATGGGTATAGCATTGAATCTGTAAGTTACTTCGGGTGGTATGGCCATTTTCACGATATTGATTCTTCCCGTTCATCAGCATGGAATGTTTTTCCATTTGTGTCCTCTCTGATTTCCTTGAGCAGTGGTTTGTAGTCCTCCTTGAGTCGGTACTTCACATCCCTTGTAAGTTGGAATCCTAGGTATTTTATTCTCTTTGTAGCAATTGTGAATGGGAGTTCACTCATGATTTGGCTCTCTGTTTGTCTGTTATTGGTGTATAGGGGTGCTTATGATTTTTTTCACTTTGATTTTGTATCCTGATAAAGTTGCTTGTCAGCTTAAGGAAATTTTGGGCTGAGACGATGGAGTTTTCTAAATCTACAACCATGGCATCTGCAAACAGAGACAGTTTGACTTCCTGTTTTCCTAATCGAATACCCTTTATTTCTTTCTCTTGCCTGACTCCCCTGGCCAGAACTTTCAATACTATGTTGAATAAGAGTAGTGAGAGAGGGCATCCTTGTCTTGTGCTGGTTTTCAAAGGGAATGCTTCCAGTTTTTGCCCATTCAGTATGACATTGACTGTGGGTTTGTTATATTAGCTGTTATTGTTTTGAGATATGTTCCATCAGTACGTAGTTAATTGAGAGTTTTAGCATGACGGGGTGTTGAATTTTGTTGCAGGCCTTTTCTGAATCTATTGCGATAATCATGTGGTTTTTGTCATTGGTTCTGCTTATGTGATGGATTGTGTTTATTGGTTTGGTTATGTTGAACCAGCTGTGTATCCCAGGGATGAAGCTGACTTGACCATGGTGGATAAGCTTTTAAGTTCAGGGGTACAAGTGTAGTTTTATTACACAGGTAAACTTGTATCATGGGGATTTGTTGTACAGATTATCACTCAGGTATTAAGTCTGGAACCCATTAGTTATTTTTCCTGATCTGTCCCTCTCCCTACCTCCCAACCTCCAAAAATCCCAGCGTCTGTTGTTCCCCTCTATGTCTACGTATTCTCTCATCATCTAGCTCTTACTCGTAAGAGAGAACATAAAGTATTTGGTTTTCTGTTCCTGTGTTAGCTTGCTAAGGATGATGGCCTCCAGCTCTATCCATGTCTTAGCAAAGGACATGATCTTTTTATATGCACGTTGGCCACTTGTATATATTCTTAAGAGGAGTGTCTGCTGATGTCCTTTGCCCATTTTTAATGGGGTGATTTGTTTTTTGTTAGTTGATTTGTATAAATTTGCTATAGATTGTGAATATTTGGCTTTTGTCAGATGTATAGCAAATATCTTCTTCATTCTGTAGGTTGTTTATTCTGTTGACAGTTTCTTTTGCTGTGGGAAGCTGTTTCACTTAATGAGGTCCCACTTACCTATTTTTGTTGCATTTACTTTTGGGGGCTTAGCCAGAAATTCTTTGCCAAGGATACTGTCGAGAAGACTATTTCCCTAGGATTACTCTAGTTTGAGGTTTTACATTTAAATAAATCTTTGGTTCATTCCACATTCATTTCTTTTGAGACACAATTTCTCTGTCACACATGCTGGTGTGCAGTAGCACAGTCATGACTCACCTCACTGTAGCCTAGATCTTCTGGGCTTAAACAACCCTCACACTTAAGCCTTCCTAGTAGCTGGGAGCTACCACACACACACAAAAAAATTATAAGAATAGAAATTTTTACAAAGTTACTATTTTTTATATTAATAGCTATTACACTTGCCTAATATTTTTAAAAATTTTTTGTAGAGACAAGAGTCTCACTGTGTTGACCAGGCTGATCTCAAACTTCTGGGCTCTAGCTGTTCTCCTACCTTGGCCTCCCACAGTGTTGGGATTACAGGTATAAGCCTGGCCGTGAGTTAATTTTTGCACATGGTGAAGTGTAGGTGTCCAGCTTCAGTCTTCAGCATATAGCTAGTCAGTTACTCCATCACCATTTATTGAATAGGAAGCTATTTCCCATTGTTTGTTTTTGTTGGCCTTGTCAAATAACAGATGGTAGTACGTGTCTGGCTTTATTTCTGAGTTTTCTATTCTGTTCCATTTGTTTTTTGTTGGTCTTTGTTACAGTACCATGCTGTTTTAGTTACTGTCACTTCAGATTATAGTTCAAAATTTGGATAGTGTGATGTCTATATCTTTGTCTTTTGGCTTAGGTTTGCTTTGGCTAGTTGGGGCTCTTTTTTTAGTTTCAAATAAATTTTAGAATTTCTTTCAAGTTCTGTGAAGAATGATGTTGGTAGTTTGATAGAAATAGCATTGAATCTGTAAATTGCTTTGAGTGGTATGGCCATTTTAATGATACTGGTTCTTTCAATATATGGGTGTGGAATGGTTTTCCATTTACTTGTGTTATCTCTGATGTTTTTTAGCAATGTTTTCTGGATTTCCTTGTAGAAGTTTTTCACCTACTTGGTTAGCTGTATTTCAAGATATTTCCTTTTCTTTATCTTCTGCTCATTTTTAATTAGTTTTTTTTTTCCTTCCTGTTGTATTTGTGCAGTTTCTTACTTTTTGGATCTTGACCTTTTATTGGACCCACAGTTTGCAAATATATTCTTCCATTCTGTAGGTCGTCTCTTTATTCTGTTGATGTTTCCTTCATTGTGCAGAAGCTTTTTAGCTTAATGTAATACCATTTGTCTGTTTTTACTTTAGTTGCTTATGCTTTTGAGGTCTTAATCCAGAAAATTCTTGCCAAGATCAATGTCATGGAGCTTTCCTCTTATGTCTTCTTTTAGTAGTTTCATACTTTTGGATTTTACATTTAAGTTTTTACTTCCTTTGGGGGTTGATTTTTGTACATGCTGAAAGACGGGTAACGTTTCATCCTTCTCTGCATGTGTATATCCAGGTTTTCCAACAATAGATGCTGAAGAGACTGCCCTTTCCTCTGTGTTCTTGGTGTCTTTGTGGAACTTCTTTCGACTAAAAATGCAGAGATTTATTTCTGAGCTAATTTTCCTTGTATCTGTGTGTTTTGTTTTTATTGATAGTACTAAGCCCTTTTAGTTACCGTAGCTTTGTGATATAAAATTAGTGTGAATACTCTCAGCTTTTTTGTTTATTGTTTTGTTTCACATATTGCTTTGGATATTTTGAGTCTTTGGGATTCCATATCACTTGCTTTTTCTAAAATTTCTGTTAAGGATGCTGTTGTTGTTTTTTGACGGGGATTAAATTGAATTTCTAGATCAGTTTGGATATTATGGACATTTTAGCAATATTAATTCTTCTAGTCTGTGAGGACAAGGTAGCTTAAAATTTATTTGTGTCTTCTTCGGTTTCCTTCATCATTATTTGTATAGTTTTCACTGTAGTGATTTTTTTACCTCCTAGCAAATTTATTGCTAGGGATTTTTTTTTCAGCTGTTAGAAATGGAGTTTTTATTTTATTTTTCTTTCAGATAATTTTCTACTAATGTATAGAAACACAACTGATTTTTATATTGATTTTGTATCCTGCAAATTTACTGAATTTGTTAGTTCTAACAGCGTTTTTATGGAGGCCTTAGCATCCTCTTAAAAAAGAAGTGTTTTCGGCTGGGCGCGGTGGCTCAAGCCTGTAATCCCAGCACTTTGGGAGGCCGAGGCGGGCGGATCACAAGGTCAGGAGATCGAGACCACAGTGAAACCCCGTCTCTACTAAAAATACAAAAAATTAGCCGGGCGCGGTGGCGGGCGCCTGTAGTCCCAGCTACTCAGGAGGCTGAGGCAGGAGAATGGCGGGAACCTGGGAGGCGGAGCTTGCAGTGAGCCGAGATCGCGCCACTGCACTCCAGCCTGGGCAACAGCGTGAGACTCCGTCTCAAAAAAAAAAAAAAAAAAAAAGAAGTGTTTTCTTTAAGACTTTCTTATAAATCTTCAAACAGGGATAACATTACTTTTTCTTTTCCAATTTGAATGCTTTTTAAATTTCTTTTCCTGCCTCATTGCTCTGGCTAGGATCTCCGGCACTTTGTTAGTTGATAGTGGCAAAACAGGGCATTGTATCTGAGTTTACAACATGGACCTCTTAAATGACCAAGCGTACCAGTAGGCAACATGCTCTAAGACGCAGTTGTCTTCTTATGTATGTTTTGCTCAGTTTGCCTTTCCTCACCCTATCCTACTCCCTACTCACTCTGGCAAATCTCTGACCCAACAGGAATATGCGACCAGTGGTTGGAACCTGAATGTGATGCCGGTGCTAGATCAGTCTGTTCTCTGTCACATCAATGCAGACATCTCAGGCATGAAGGTGCCCTGGCTGTACGTGGGCATGGTTTTCTCAGCATTTTGTTGGCATATTGAGGATCACTGGAGTTACTCTATTAACTACCTGCACTGGTGAGCATGACCCCAAAGGCTGGCATGGATATCAAGACTGCCTTCATATGCAAGGATGTGTATAGACTTGATGTGTTTTCTCTCTGCCTGAGCAGGGGTGAACCAAAGACCTGGTATGGTGTACCCTCCCTGGCAGCAGAGCATTTGGAAGAGGTGATGAAGAGGCTGACACCTGAGCTGTTTGATAGCCAGCCTGACCTCCTACACCAGCTTGTCACTCTCATGAATCCCAACACTTTGATGTCCCATGGTGTGCCAGTGAGTAACAAGGATCAAAACAATTTTAATTTTATTCCCTGGGGTGAGAAGGGAATGAGAAAGAACTTAGTTTTGGAAGAAATAAAACCGTATCTATTTTGCTGTGGAGATTAGGCTTAGCATCACACCTCTTTGCCTCCCCTTCCTGACATCAAGTTGCAGATCGCTACCATTAGCTGGGACACCTAAGAGAACAATTAAAAGAGAGATTAGATAATTACTTAGCAGAATGGAAATTAAAACTTGGATCTTGGCCTTTTTATCTGCCTTCTAATCTAGGATTGGTATTCTCTTAATTTTTCTGAATATAATTCTTATTTTGCAAAACCCGCATGAGGATGAGGGACTGGTTTCAGAGTTTTGGGTGTTTCTAGGATTGAATTATATCAGCTCCTTTTGCTAAAAAATAAGTAAGCAATGTGTATGTGGTACACGGACTGGGTCACTGTCTTGTAACATGCTGTGCCTTTTCTCCTTTGAAATTCTGTAAGCTTTGAGTTAACCACTTTATAAGCTTTTATAACTTTTATGGCCATCTTCCTCCGTTTTCTCATCTGAACAAAATACACTTTGTGTCTCCAGAAGCCCTCTTCCTTTCCTGACATTTTATACATTTTATGAATTATAACTTGTACCTTTTTTTTTTCTAGTATTCCTCTTGTCTGACAAGAAAAAGATATTGATGATAATGAGCTCATCAAGCAATCTAATTACACGATTTGTCTTGCTTTCTGATTCTAGTTCCGAACTATATTTTTTGTCTCTCATGTGCTATATATGTAATACTGACTTTTATATATTTTTTTTATGGGTGCCTTTCCTAGGCGTATTGCTTTCTTTATAAAGCTCTGAATTACTCGGTAATATCCTTTCATGTCAGCCTGAAGGAGTCCTTCTGTATTCCCTGTAGGCGTGTCTTTTGGAGACATATTTCCACAATTTTTAATTCTCTTAATTTATTCATTTATTTTTCCTATTATGTGACTTTAAACATGTCATCCAACTGGCCTCTGGCCTCCATTACTTCTTATGAAAAATCTGTTGATAATTCTGTTAAGCATCCATTATATGTGAAGAATCATGTCTGTCATGCTGCTTTCAAACTCCATCTTGGTGTCTTACCTTTTGATGGTTCGACTATATTGTGTCTTCTAGAGTTTATCTAGTTGGAGTGCCCTGAGCTTCTTGGTGGTAGACTTTCAGGGCTTTCCACAAATTTGGAAATTGTTTAACCACTTTTGTTTCAACTGTTAGACCTTTTTCTTTTTCTCTTCTTATGAAACTCCCATTCTGCATACATGGGTGCACTTGGTAGGGTCTGATTAATATTCTTCTCTTTTTGCCCCCTGCTGATTTGATTATTTCAGTTGACATGTCTTACAGTTTTCTGATTCTTTCTTTTGCCTGCTCAAAGCTCCTGTTGAAAACATCTTGTGAGTTTTTCACTTTTTCTATGGGACTGGGAGCTTCAGAATTTTGACTTGTTTCATTTTTGTAATTTTAATGCCTTTCTTGGAACTTTTATTTGGAGGGATATTATTCTTCTGATACCCGTTAGTCCTTTGTGCATTGCTTCTTAAGCCGTTTAAGCCTGTTTAAGAGAGTTGATAGACTTTAGTAAGTACGTAAGCCTGGGCTATCTCAGAGCTTTTTTCTTTTAACAGAAGGGCTATACTTTCTGGTTTCTTTGTATGCCTCCTGTGTTTTAAACTGAACACTTTTGGTATTGCTTCAACTCTGAAAATCATGCTATCCCCTTGTCTTCTCAAAAAATTTTTTGTTGTTGTTGCTTTTATGTACAATAGTAGTTGTTTGATTACTGAATTTTCTGAACTAGTATTTTTGGGGCATATGTTTTAAAGGTGAAATTCACATAATACAAAGCAAACCATCTTAAATTGAACAATTTGGTCTCATTTAGTACATTCACAGTGTTCTGCATCCACCATGTCTATTAAATTCTAAAATATTTTTATTATTCCAGAAAAGTCTCAAAACAATTATGTTATTTCTCATTCATCCATGTTTCTCTCCTTGGACCACAATTTTACTTTCTGTTTCTATGAATTTATTCTGCATATTTCCTATAAATGGAATCATACAACATGTGATCTTTTGTATCAGATTTCTCAAAGTTCATCTGTGCTATGGCATGTGTCAGAGTTTCATTCCTTTTCCATGGCTGAGTAATACTGCATTGTATGAACAGACCACATTGTACTTATCCATGCATCTGTTAAAGTACGTTTGTGTTGTTTCCACCACTTAGCTATTGTGCATATTTCTGCTGTGAACATTTGTGTGCAAATATTTGTTCAGGTTATTTCTTTCAGAGTTTTGGGTGTATACTGATAAGTGGTATTGGACAGTCATATGGTAGTTCTCTGTTTTAATTTTTTGAGGAACTTAGTTACTGTTTTCCATAGCAGTTTCATAGCCATTTTGCATTCTTACCAGCCATGCACAAGGGTTCCAATATGTCTGCATTCCTGCCAACTGTGTTATTTTCCGCCTCTTTTTGTATGGCAAGAAATAGTATCTTTTGTGGCAAGAAATAGTATCTTGTGGTTTTGATTTGCATTTTCCTAACAACTAAACATGGTGAGCAACTCTTTGTATACTTGAGTAATCTTTTAATTTTATATTCTTTTTCTGCTTTCTATTAGCCTGGTGGTCATCTACCAACCTAACAAACCCTTTCTTAAGCCAAAATAATAATGATAATAACTAATAATAATATTAACCACCCAGTCTTTGCAGATTGTGTCTGATTGGGGAAACTTCTTCAAGGCTGTTTTAAAAACTGTTTTAGACTCCACCTTCTGCTTAGGAAGAGCATGAAAGTCAGACAGAGGTGAGCTTAGAGTCTTAGATCTTTTCTGAGCATGCATCTTGCCCTGGACGTTAATATGGCTTTGTCAGTTCTCAAATACTATGTGGAAGCTTTTCTCGAGTCCCTTTTTCCCCAAATATCTCATTCTCTAGGATTTTCCTCCCAGGCAGTTAAAATTATCTGTTGTTTTTCTAGTCTCTCTCTCTCTGTCTCTGTATCTCCTCCCTACCATCATCACCCCCATTTTAAAGCCAGAGGTGGATATGGCTAATATCTTTGCTTTTTTATACTTGCAAAAAACACAGCCTGAGAAGTCTTCTCTCTTCTTAGCGAACTGTCAGGCAGGTGAAAGAAATTCAGGCCCTTGAGGTAGTCCTCCACCAGACAGGTCAAAACACACCACTTTAGTTTTTTGGGAAAAAGGTTCACATCATGGTTCCTGGCACCAGCCAGCTGCACCAGAATCTCAGGTTGCTTTCCCAAGGTAGTTGCTGAGATAGGAGTTGGGGCAAGTGTGTATGAAGGCAAGTTACTACATTACAGCGCTCTTGTACCGAATTTTAGAAGCTTGTAAAAATTAAGTGTTCTCCTGATTTGGGTTTTTTGTTTGTTTGTTTGTTTTTGGTTTATTTTATTTTATTTTATTACACTGTTCTGAAAATTTCAGCACTAGATCATTGGGTAGAGGGAAAAAGTTGTGGAGTTTCTAATTCCATCATTTTTGGTGACTGAACTCCATGACTTTAAAAATTTACATTTCTTTGATTATAGAAGCAAAGAATTTTTTTACTTGTTTGTGGAACCCTCTATATTTGTTTCCTGAATTACACATTTTTTGAGTACTTTTCTCTGAATACCACTTTTAAATGTCACAATGTTATTTTTCTTTTAGGGCACATACTTGACGATAGAGCCTTCCCACTCTTCCTACATCCATTACAGCATCTAGGGGCATTTTTGAGTTCACATCTTACCCATTAGTTCTGACCCACACCTCTTTCCGTTTTTCTTCTCCTTTTTAGGTTGTCCGCACAAACCAATGTGCAGGGGAATTTGTCATCACTTTTCCTCGTGCTTACCACAGTGGTTTTAACCAAGGATACAATTTTGCTGAAGCTGTCAACTTTTGCACTGCTGACTGGGTGAGTGGGCATGCAGTGGGCCTGCAGGTAGAAAGTATAAAGAATATGGGTAAGGATTATTGTGGATAAGCTAAGCATTGTGGTCTCCAGATAGCCACACACAGTCTTGAATGCACTTGCAGCTACCTGCTGGACGCCAGTGCATTGAACACTACCGCCGGCTCCGGCGCTATTGTGTCTTCTCCCATGAGGAGCTCATCTGCAAGATGGCTGCCTTCCCAGAGACGTTGGATCTCAATCTAGCAGTGGCTGTGCACAAGGAGATGTTCATTATGGTTCAGGAGGAGCGACGTCTACGAAAGGCCCTTTTGGAGAAGGTGGGTGGTCAAGAGCAGGGCTTAGGGATTTAGTCACATATACCACGTTACAGAGACACAGACCAACATTGAGTAACCACTGTGTGCCTAAACTTTTAAGTCATGCATTTTGAAATGGAAAGACAGAGCCTGTATGTGTTTATATTTTTTCTTCCAATTTCTCTGCAGCTGTCCTTACAAGGTTGAGTCCACATCAGGGCTCAGTGTTGGCTGAGGTGGGGTGTCCACAGCCCTACTCCTAGTCTTTACAGTATATGTGGGTTGAACACCCCCAGGGCGTCACGGAGGCTGAGCGAGAGGCTTTTGAGCTGCTCCCAGATGATGAACGCCAGTGCATCAAGTGTAAGACCACATGCTTCTTGTCAGCCCTGGCCTGCTACGACTGCCCAGATGGCCTTGTATGCCTTTCCCACATCAACGACCTCTGCAAGTGCTCTAGTAGCCGACAGTACCTACGGTGAGCATGGGAACACTGTGGGGATGTGGAGGAGGTTACAGAGCTGGGCCAGATGTGTACCCTTCCTGGTTTTCTTCCTCTAGGTATCGGTACACCTTGGATGAGCTCCCCACCATGCTGCATAAGCTGAAGATTCGAGCTGAGTCTTTTGACACCTGGGCCAACAACGTGCGAGTAGCCTTGGAGGTGGAGGATGGCCGTAAGCGCAGTGAGTGACGGGAAACGGAAGGAACCCTTGTATAAACCTTATTTCTTTCTTTTGGGTATTCACAACCTTCCTTTTCTGCTAACACTGCCTACCTGTTGCAACTTATGCTGTCTCTAGGCTTTGAAGAGCTAAGGGCACTGGAGTCTGAGGCTCGTGAGAGGAGGTTTCCTAATAGTGAGCTGCTTCAGCGACTGAAGAACTGCCTGAGTGAGGTGGAGGCGTGTATATCTCAAGTCCTGGGGCTAGTCAGTGGTCAGGTGGCCAGGTATGTGAGAGGAGAAGGCAAAGAAGGGTGTGAGTATGTGAAAATGAATAACAAAAGTGGATAGACTATAAACACACAATCCCATTTGAGACTGAGGCAGGAGATTGAACCCAAGAGGCGGAGGTTGCAGTGAGCCGAGATGGTGTCATTGCACTCCAGCCTGGGCAGCAAGAGCATAACTCCATCTCAAAACAACAATAGCAAAAAAAGAAAAGAAGCACAGACTCAGCACTTGTCAAGTTTTACCAAGAAAGGGTAGATAACACATGGACAAAAACCAGTATAATATGAACTAGAAGTTACTGAAGTAAACAGTTTCTAACAAAATAATGTGGCAAGCAATAAATATATACTAGCAAAATTGCAATCTTTTCCTACTTCTTAGGAAATCTCATAACATTATGCAGACATCAGAATTTCCACAAAATTTACTTTTGGCTGTGTAATTAGGCAAAACTTTAGAGGTTAAAGTAATCCTAGGTATTTATTTAACTGTTAGTTTCCAAATGTATACGACAATAGATACATACACTTTTTACATTGAAAAATCAAGTAAATGATTATATACAGTCAGGCGTCACTTAATGATGGAGATGTGTTTGGAGAAAAATGTCATTAGGCAATTTTGTCATTGTTGCATATGCACTGTCTACTTACATAAACCTGGATGCTGTGACCTCCTACACACCTAGGCTGTGTAGAGCCTGTTGTTCCTAGGCAGCAAACCGGCACAACGTGATACTGTACTGAATATTGTTGGGAGTTGTAACACAATGGTGAGTATTTGTGTATCAAAATATCCAAACATATAATTAATACAATAAACGAACTGTGGAAGACATAAAATATGGGGCACTTACCATGAATGAAACTTGCAGGACAGGAAGTTTTTCAGGGTGAGGAACTGACTGATAAGAGAATGTGAAGGTATCTTTCTTTAATGGTAAATTAGCCACCGCTACTGTAAATTTTTTTTTAAACTTAATTTCAGGGTACATGTGTGGGTTTGTTACATACGTACACTTGTGTCATGGGAGTTTGTTAACACAGTTTATCACCCAGGTATTAAGTCCAGTACCCCTTAGTTACTTCTCCTGGTCCTCTCCCTCCTCCCACCCTCCACCTTCTGATAGTCCCCAGTATGTGCTGTTCCCTCTGTGCATATATCCATGTGTTCTCATCATTTAGGTTCCACATACCAGTGAGAACATGTGGTATTTGATTTTCTGTCTCTGTGCTAGTTTGCTAAGGATAATGGCCTCCAGCTTCATCCATGTTTCTTCAGAGGTCATGATCCTGTTTTTATAATATCTGCATGGTAATTCCATGGTGGATATGTACCACTTTTTCTTTATCCAGTCTATCATTAATGGCCATTTAGATTGATTTCATGTCTTTGCTCTTGTGAGTGGTGCTGCAGTGAACATAACACCTGCATATGTCTTCATGATAGAACAATTTATATACCTTTGGGTATATACCCAGTAATGGGATAGCTGGGTCAAATGGTATTTCTGCCTCTAGATCTTTGAGGAATTGCCACACTGTCTTCCACAGTGGTAGAACTAATTTTACACTCCCAGCAACCCTGTGTAGGAGTTACTGTTTCTCCACAACATCGCCAACACCTGCTGTTTCCTGACTTTTTCATGATTGCCATTCTGAATGGTCTTGTCAGGTGGTACCTCGCATTTCTCTAATGATCACTGATGCTGAGCTTTTTTTCATGTATCTGTTGGCTGCATGTATGTCTCCATTTGAAAAGGGTCTGTTTATGTCTTTTGCCCACTTTGTAATGGGGTTGTTTTCTTCTTGTAAATTTGGTTAGATTCCTTTATAGATGCTGGATATTAGACCCTCGTCAGATGCATAGTTTGCAAAAACTGTCTCCCATTCTGTAGGTTGTCCGTTTACCCTGTGTGTAGACAGTTCTTTCTGCAAGAGCTCTTTAATTCGGACTCATCAATTTTTGCTATTTTCTCAGTTGCTTTTGACATCTTCATAATGAAATCTTTACTCATGCCTGTGTCTGGAATGGCATTGCCCAGATTGTCTTCCAGGGCGTTTATGGTTTCAGGTTTTTAATTTATGTCTTTAATCCATCTTGAACTGATATTTGTATAAGGCAGGGGTCCTGTTTCAGTTTTCTGCATATGACTCAGCCAGTTACCTCAACAGGATGTACTGAATAGGGAGTCCTTTCCCCATTGCTTGTTTTTGTCAGCCTTGTCAAAGATCAGATGGTTGTAGGTGTGCAGCCTCATTTCTGGGCTTTCTATCTGTTTCATTGGTCTTTGAGTCTGTTTTGTAAATTGTTTATTTCATAAACATTTAATTTCTATTTGAATGTTTTACTCTTTTCTAATAACAGCTTAAAACACAAATGCATCGTAGAGTTGTACAAAAATATTTTCTTTCCTCACGTAGTTCTGTAAACTTTTCTATATAAACAATTTTTAAGTTTGTTTTCCATTTTAAACATTTTTGCTAAAATCTAAGATGTAAAGACACACATTGGCCTATGCCTACACAGAGTCAGATTCTAAATATCACCATCTTCTCCCATCTGTATCTTATTCTAGTGGAAGGTCTTCAGGGTACTGACACATGTAGAAAGGTATCTGTTATGATAACCGTGCCTCCTCCTGGAATACTAATACCTTTAGGGCTGCCTGACAGTTACCTTTTGTTTCTAGTAGGAGTATATTCTAAAATAATAGCTAAAAAAAAAATGTGGTGTCAAGCATTAAGCAATATATGGCTGTTTGTTATCATTATCAGGTATTATATTATATGATGCATGTGCTAGATAGACTCTTACATGACCAGCAGTACAGTGGGTTGTTTACACCAGTATCACCACAGACACATGAGGAATGTGTTGCTACTTTACAACTGCTACAATGTCAGGAGGTGATAGGAATGTTTCAGTACTATTATAATCTTACAGGCCCACTATCATATATGTGGTTTGTCACTGAAAGGTTATGTGGTGCATGACAATGTTAAATCATGTATTTTTAAAAACTCTATTAAAAAAAATAAAGCTGCGTTAGTAGGAAGGAATTTTAGATAAAGTAGGGGGTTTTTTTTAGGTTTAAGGGTCAGAATAAAGGGATCAAGACCATAAAGCAAAGGTATACATTTGAACCAGTTTCTACTTGAGAATATATGTAATTTTTTCAATAAACTTTAAGAAAATATAGAAAGATTTGAAAGTGGTGAAGTACATAGCAAAATAGATATTTTAAATGTATTATTTTGGGGCTATTTGAAGGATCAGTCCCACAGGATGTGGCATGGTCTGATTGAAATTAAATAACTGATGAGGAAGCTTTTTAAATAGTCCGTCACATAATTATTGTCCTGAGCTATAATTGAGATGCTAGATTGCCTTTTAGACTTTTCTGTGCCACCTAGATACTCAATGGCCCATACTTACTCAGCTTAATTTCTTGCGTTTTGTCTTCATTCTTATGTCCATCATATTTTAGAGACATATTATTTCAAATATTCTTTTTTTTTTCTTTTTTTTTCTTTTTTTTTTTTTGAGATGGAGTCTCACTCTGTCACCCAGGCTGGAGTGCAGTGGTGCAATCTCAGCTCATTGCAAGCTCTGCCTCCCAGCTGGGTTCAAGCCATTCTCCTGCCTCAGCCTCCCATGTAGCTGGGACTACAGGTGCATGCCACCACACCTGGCTAATTTTTTTTATATTTTAAGTAGAGATGGGGTTTCACCATGTTAGCCAGGATGGTCTTGATCTCCTGACCTCGTGATGCGCCTGCCTTGGCCTCCCAAAGTGCTGGAATTACAGGTCTATGAGTCTGTTTTTGTAAATTGTTTATTTCATAAACATTTAATTTCTATTTGAATGTTTTACTCTTTTCTAATAACAGTTAGCTTAAAACACAAATGCATCATAGAGTTGTACAAAAATATTTTCTTTTCTTATATTGTCATTCTATAAACTTTTTGTATAAACAATATTTAGGTTTGTTTTCCATTTTAAACATTTTTGTTAAAATCTAAGATGTAAAGACACACATTGGCCTATGCCTACACAGAGTCAGATTCTAAATATCACCATCTTCCCCCATCTATATCTTATTCTAGTGGAAGGTCTTCAGGGTACTGACACATGTAGAAGGTATCTGTTATGATAACCATGCCTCCTGCTGGAATACTTCCTGAAGTATCTTTGGGGCTGCCTGACCATTATTTCAAATATTCTTAAATAGTCCTACTTGTTCTTAATCTCTTTTCTCATTGCTGCCTTTCTTTAAACCATGGAAACTTTAAAATTTTAGAGGAAATTTCACTTTTATGGATAACTCCTTTCGCTACTCAGGTTCAAGAGAAATAAGGCTTTTCCAGGTTGAATCCATGATACCCATATAACATGCCTTGGGTTTCCACTTTAATCTGTCTCAAGTTTTCTTCATGCATTTAAACTTCCTGGCCTCATCAGTTTTCTTCATCTTGTAGACAGTTGGAACCAAAGAGTAAGTCTTAAAAGTTCTTATCATGTGGTACTGTTTTGCTTCTAATGTAATGAACTCTCATTTCTTGTCTAGAGTAGATTTATTACTCTGACCATTCTTATCATCACTTAGCCCTCCTTCCTTCTTAATCCTTCCATTGCATTTGTACTTCAGTTTCTGGCTTAATAGATGTTTTGTGTCACTGTGAAAGCTACTACTTCTGAATCCTATTGGCTATTTGTTTTTACATCTCTTCCTCATTCTTTAACTCTTAACTGGATGACTAATGAAAATGTAACTTAAACTATGTGGGGGCCATTCAAATGTCTGTTTTCTCTTGCCACGTATTTGTATTTATTTCTATTCTTCTATCGAATAGTGCTAGCCATCTAGTAACATGGTGGCATGGTATTAAGTAGCCATAGTGTTAGCAGATTAATACTGTTACATTTTCTCAGGAAGCTGGACTCTCTCACTTTGATATCTGTAGTTAGTCTGTATTAACTGCTGTCAAAAGCTTACAGGTGTTTTTTCAAATCTTAACTTACTGGTCAGTATCACTGAACTTAGAAAAAAACCTTTGTGGATATTACTGAAATACAAAAGGGAAGGAAGTATGTTAAAATTCTGTAAGTTTTTGAAATGTGGCCTTACAAGGTGTTCCTTCTGGTTCCTACAGGATGGACACTCCACAGCTGACCTTGACTGAACTCCGGGTCCTTCTTGAGCAGATGGGCAGCCTGCCCTGTGCCATGCATCAGATTGGAGATGTTAGGGTGAGGAGGGGCCTGGCAAGATGGAGTTTTTGTTAACAGCAAATACTCAGGAAGTCTGACATGTCAGGAAAGCTTGAGAACCTAGGTATTCTAAACAACCTTCTCATAATAACAGGTTCTTTCCTGAAAGTGATGGAGATGAGTGTTCCCATACCATCTCTGTCTTTACAGCATATAAGGAAATACCCTTCCAGACTGAAATAATTAAAAACTCTAAACAGGAGCCTACATAAGACACTGGCTCTTGGGAATGGGATGGAGAGGACTGATTGATTGATTGCTTGATTTCCCTCCACACAGTAGAGTCTTACAAAGCTTATTAGAGGGATAAGATTATATTAAAGTGGGCTTGGAAAAAGAAATTTTAGGTAATTAAAGGAGAAAAGTATCATTCTAGGTAAACAGAGGGCCTTTGTTATTATCAAGTAGATCATGTTTAGGATGTGATTGAGAATAAGTGTTAAGCAACAGGAAATGCCTATAAGAGAAGATGAGAAGTGGAGCAAATCTAGGTTGTTGAGTATTTCTGTGGCTAAAGAATCTGCATTTTATCCTATGTCTTTGCAGGATGTCTTGGAACAGGTGGAGGCCTACCAAGCTGAGGCTCGTGAGGCCCTGGCCACATTGCCGTCTAGTCCAGGGCTATTGCAGTCCCTGTTGGAGAGGGGGCAGCAGCTGGGTGTAGAGGTGCCTGAAGCCCATCAGCTTCAGCAGCAGGTGGAGCAGGCGCAATGGCTAGATGAAGTGAAGCAGGCTCTGGCCCCTTCAGCCCACAGGGGCTCTCTGGTCATCATGCAGGGGCTTTTGGTTATGGGTGCCAAGATAGCCTCCAGCCCTTCTGTGGACAAGGCCCGGGCTGAACTGCAAGAACTGCTGACCATTGCAGAGCGCTGGGAAGAAAAGGCCCATTTCTGCCTGGAGGCCAGGTGGGGTGTAGTCTTTCCCTGTCTGTATTTTGACTGTAATCTTCTGAGTTTTGGGGTGACCCTAAGTATTTCTATGGGTGCCCTTGGGCAGCAGACTCCCAGTTGGGCATCTACTAAACTCTGAAGGACTGGCATGACATACCATCTAGTCCCATCTATATGACATGTCATGTTGATCTTTCACTGTTGTAAAGGCAACAGTTGGGGAAATATTCCTTGGGTGACTTAGTTCTCAGGTGAATGGATGCAGCCTGTGACTTAGACCTACATACCCCCTGCAGTGTTACAGAGTTCCTCAGTGTGGCTCCCTTACTCTGTCACACTTTTTGTTCCTTGTGTTTTTAGCAAGGAAACGTAGGACTTAAAAAAGGGGCATGTATGCCTGTAACATGTAGTGATAGATTTCTGTTTTTCAAAAAAATTTTAGGCAAAAGCATCCACCAGCCACACTGGAAGCCATAATTCGTGAGACAGAAAACATCCCTGTTCACCTGCCTAACATCCAGACTCTCAAAGAAGCTCTGACTAAGGCACAAGCTTGGATTGCTGATGTGGATGAGATCCAAGTGAGGATCAGTATTTTTGCTTTGCTATGTCAGGCCAGCAACTAGAAGAGATAGTTTTTGCTCAGTTGGATTGTGCTAGAAAGTGAAGGTGGGAAGTTTGGAGTATTCTTTGAGAGATCTGAGCATATCAGAATAGGAATGGAGGGAAAAGAAGTATGAATATGGGTGTAGAGCTAAGCAGAGACTATTGATATGTAGAAGTGGACAGAAGAAGCAGGATACAACAGAGTTACTTGCCCATGTGTAATTTTTGGTCAGAGCCAATGAAAGTAGGAGTTCTGAGAGAAAAGAGTTTCTATCCCATTTTTCCCTTGCAGAAAACACAGATTTTTGGCCCTGTGATTATGCAGTACAATACCCAGTATTACTCAGGACAAATTTAGACACAATATTGTTGACATAATTTAAATGAACTTTCTTTTTCTCCTATCCCAGAATGGTGACCACTACCCCTGTCTGGATGACTTGGAGGGCCTGGTGGCCGTGGGCCGGGACCTGCCTGTAGGGCTGGAAGAACTGAGACAGCTAGAGCTGCAGGTATTGACAGCACATTCCTGGAGAGAGAAGGCCACCAAGACCTTTCTCAAGAAGAATTCTTGCTACACACTGTTGGAGGTGAGGTCTGGGACCCTGACCCACAGCCCTCTTCTGCATCTGGCCTGGCTGCTGTGAGATGGCGCGTATGATGAGAACATAGGTTTTTTAGGGGGCACCTGGGTAGGAAGGAAAGGGTGTGGGAGGTGAGGGAAGCCTGGGCATTTCCTCTCTGTCTGCCTACCTGCCTTAGGTGCTCTGCCCATGTGCAGACGCTGGCTCAGACAGCACCAAGCGTAGCCGATGGATGGAGAAGGCGCTGGGGTTGTACCAGTGTGACACAGAGCTGCTGGGGCTGTCTGCTCAGGACCTCAGAGACCCAGGCTCTGTGGTAAGCAGCATGGCCCAGATGGGGAGAAGATGGATTCTGGGTATCTCCCTGAAAAGAGGAGAGCCGGTGATGATAGGGTGTCTGAGCCCTGTTAAAGTTCTGGTTTGGGAGCTGGGTATTAGGATGCCAGACAAGGGCGAGGGTGGACTGCTGACCTACTTTCCCCCTCTTCTGGACATGATAGATTGTGGCCTTCAAGGAAGGGGAACAGAAGGAAAAGGAAGGTATCCTGCAGCTGCGTCGCACCAACTCAGCCAAGCCCAGTCCACTGACACCATCCCTCATGGCCGCCTCTGCGACTTCTATGTGTGTGTGTGGCCAGGTGCCCATTGGGGTGGGAGCTCTGCAGTGTGACCTCTGTCAGGACTGGTTCCATGGGCAATGTGTGTCAGTGCCCCGTCTCCTCACCTCTCCAAGGCCCAGTCTCACGTCGTCTCCACTGCTGGCCTGGTGGGAATGGGACACAAAATTCCTGTGTCCACTGTGTATGCGCTCACGACGGCCACGCCTAGAGACAATCCTAGCCTTGCTAGTTGCCCTGCAGAGACTGCCTGTGCGGCTGCCTGAAGGTGAGGCTCTTCAGTGTCTCACAGAGAGGGCCATTGGCTGGCAAGACCGTGCCAGAAAGGCTCTGGCTTCTGAGGATGTGACTGCTCTGTTGCAACAGCTGGCTGAGCTTCGCCAACAGCTACAGGCCAAACCTAGATCAGAGGAGGCCTCGGTCTGCACTTTAGCCACTGCCTGTGACCCTATCAGAGGAGGCAGTGGGAACACTGTTTCTAAGGTGAGCTTTCCAGGCTGGCCATTGTTCTCACATTTAGGTCTTCTAGCCCCTGTCCTCCTCTTGGCTCCAGTTTTGTCCCTGTTCCCTGATTTTCAGTCTCCTTTGGCCTAGCCTCTTTGCCCCATTCTAAACCTATCCAGATCCCTAGACTCTGCTCCCTGTTGGAAGCCTGTGTCTACTATCATTCAGGAGGTAGAGGCTCCCAAGTTTTGGGGTTGTGGGAGGAAAGATAGGACCTGGTCCATCAGCTCATTTATCGTTACCCATTCTTTTTTTCCCTGATAGGTCCAAGGGCTGCTGGAGAACGGAGACACTGTGACCACTCCTGAGAACATAGCTCCAGCAAAGGGCTCTGGTAAGACTGGTGTGGTTTGGGTAGGCTCTTGGGTACTCATAACCGAGTGACCCATGTATTTGTCAGCTCTGTTGTGGCCATGGAGGATAAGACCAAGAGTGACCTCTAACCCAGTCTGTCCCTGCACCCCCAATCCCACCGCCTTCCGCCCAGACCTGGAGCTACTGTCCTCACTGTTGCCGCAGTTGACTGGCCCTGTGTTGAAGCTGCCTGAGGCAATCCGGGCTCCCCTGGAGGAGCTCATGATGGAAGGGGACCTGCTTGAGGTGACTCTGGATGAAAACCACAGCATCTGGCAGCTGCTGCAGGCTGGACAGCCTCCAGACCTGGACAGAATTCGCACACTTCTGGAGGTAGGAAGGGGGTCACAGGCAGGGCAGGAGATCAGGTTTCAGCAGGCAGAGATCCCAGTACTGACCTTTTTCTGCTTATGTGGGTATGATTGCAGCTGGAAAAGCTTGAACATCAAGGGAGTCGGACAAGGAGCCGGGCTCTGGAGAGGCGACGGCGGCGGCAGAAGGTGGATCAGGGTGGAAAGGTTGAGGATCTTGTTCAGCAGGAGCTGCAGTCAAAAAGGGCTCGGAGCTCAGGGATTACATCTCAGGAGGGCCAAAAAAAAGAACATTTTCAGGAGAAAGCAGACCGTGAAAATATATTCCTGACACCTTCCACAGACAACAGCCCTTTCTTAAAAAGAAACCAAAATAACTTACAACACAAGGATTCAGGCTCCTCAGCTGCTTGTCCTTCTTTAATGCCTTTGCTACAACTCTCCTGCCATGATGAGCAAGAGTTGTGACAGTGGCACCAAAGGTCATTTGTGGTAGTTTTTGTTTGTTTCATAAATCGTACTGTCTCCTGGCCTGGACCTCAGAAGGAGCTTCTTGCCTGTTGATAATTTTTCACTGCCAATATTTGATATCCTCACTCCTAGAGAGTTATTGTTTAAAGGTTGGTTATTCAAGTCCAGACCCCGATGCCCAGAAATGTCTTGCCAGCCACATTCCTGCTAGCATACAGGAGTGATTTTGTAAGCCAGTTCCATTCTAGTCTGAATAGAGACAAACAAATCTTGAGGAAGCCCAAGTGCACCCCTTTTTTTTTTCCCCACCACCCTCTTTCTGTACTTCAATTTTTGTTTGTTTTTTGTTTTTTTGTCCCTGTCATAAAATATTTTGGTGCTTCAAAACTTGTACTTTCATCGTACCTCCTTTTCTCTCCTTGGGTCTTATTGTAAAAGGAAACAGTGTATGGTGTAATTACTTGTAAAGACCAATAAGAATAGAGAAAAAAGAATTTCATGACTCTACCTGTGGTCTATTTTTAATTTCTTTTCTTAAAAATAAAACATTAAGTGTGTTTGGAGACTGTGAAAATGATTTGAACTTCTTAAAGTGTAAGACTGAAGGACTGAAGTTAGGAAACAACAGTAGCATGGGTCAACGTAATTTTTAATAGTTTTTTGGGGGGGAGTGGGGAAGGGTAGATTTTACTTAGAAAACATACATGAGACTTAGTCCAAAGTTAATATTTTCTCAAAGGATGTCCAGTTGACCCAACACCAGCAATAGAAAACTTACCTGTTCTACACTTAATTGCTTTGTGCTTTTTATTGAAAATCTGTTTGCTTGACTTGGGTGCGCCAATATCCGAGTTATTTGTTGTGTTGCATTGTTGAACTATGTGTCTGTTCCCTGTGGCCAGATCACAATGTCTTGGTTGCAGTCGCTTTACAGTAAGTCTTGCAATAGAGTAGACAGATTTGTCTCACTTTATTCTTTTTCAGATTGTTTTAGCAAATTAAGCCCCCAGCTCTCTTTTTTTCAGTATGTAGTTGCTTTTGTGTCCTAAATCTGATTGACTTGCACTGACAAAAGTTATCTCCCTCAGTATTTTCTGTTCTTTCAAATGGTGAATATAATAGCTAATTTAAATCATTTGTTGTAAGAATTCAGTGGGATTGATGTGTAAATATTTCAGGTGAAACCACTATATCACTATACCACTAAATCTTCATGTTCTTGTTTTGTGTGTCTCTTGGTAATCTAATAATATAGACTGTATTATACTTCTCTTAATCCCTTTTAGTGAACACATTCTGTCATCCTGGATTGAATCTCCTGCTTTTCCACCTGTTCCTTCTGACCTCAGTCAGTGTAGATCACATGATTTCCCATAGCAATTTCTCATGCCTATAATCATACCTACCTTCCTTATTGTCTACTCTTTTCACCTCTTTCTTTGATACTGTCATAGGTAACTATAATTAGCTTTCCCAGTAACAAAGCTGTGCTTGATGGTGACCTAGTAGAGTAGAAATTTCTTCACTTGTCTAAACAGAATGTACTATACCTTACCACACCGTAGGGACCAGATAAAATAAATAGAAAATCCTAAGATAATTTATCTAAATAGGAGAATTGTCTTCTAAACTTATTTTTTCTTCTCATCCATAAGTAGAAACAGTCATGATTCTCAAGCCATTACAGAATCTCTGACACTTATTAAAGGAAAATTCTGATGAGGCATTGTTAAGAACTTCTCCCTACAAAAATCTCACTAAAGTTCTGAGTCACAAATTGTTCACATACTTCACAGTGAACAGGAAATCCAAAGTCAGGACAGTTGTACACCTTTCTTAGGTTGCCTCCACCAATTGGGGCTGTATATGACTTGAGGGGCCAATTCTGACACTTTTAAAGCCATATACAAGGATGTAGCACAAAGTTTTTGCACATAGACGAGAATTTACCTTGTGATTAGAGGTTACATGTTCATTAAGAAACATGATCAAATCTGCAACAAAAACTGATTTTCACAGGGCATTCAGTGTTCTCTGAGATAATTCTAATTCAGAAAAAAAGAATTTAATCTTCGTCTAAAAAAATTGTAATAAAACTTTACCACTGGTAAGCCAACTGTGTTAGGCTCTTCTGCGAGAAAAAATAGACTGGGCAATTTATAAATTTAAGGTATTGCTCACAGTTCACATGGTAAACGTATACAGTACAAACGTGTGCCATACCTGGGCCCATTTCAGCCACAGCTGACAGAGCCAAGGAGCTCTGCTCCAAAATTCAGGAAATCAAGGTTTGGGGTAGTGCTTCACAGTGAGCCCCAGGTCCAAAGGCACCCTGGGCCTCCCCTTTAAAACTCACTGCTTTCAAGATACTAACACCCTGGGCCTGTGATGGGTATGACATTACCAAAGAACTCCAAAATGTCTTATGATAATTCTTGTTATGATGAATAGCATCTGACTCCCTTATGTCTGCTAATCTTACGAAATGTTCCTGTTTTCTCCTGAACACACTTTTTTGTTCTTAACATGGCCCAGCTGAGAATTTTCCAAATCTAAATTACAAATTTCATCTTTAATTTGTTTCTCCTCATATTTTACTGTAAGCAATCAAGAGAACCATGCCACACCCTTAACCGTTTGCTTAGTTACTTCTTCCACATGTCTTAGTTTCATCACTGTTCATTTCTGCCTTTCAGAAGCACTGGAACACAAAACTCAGCCAAGTTCATTGCCACTTTATAACAAGGATGGCCTTTTTCTAGTTTCCAGTAAGATAATCTTTATTCATCTAACTGGCCATCAGATTTTTTTCTTCACCAGTTTTTTATTTTGAAAAGTTTCAAGATTTCATAATTTGAACAGGACAGTGAACATCTCTCTCTCCTTCACATAGCTATACCAGTTAATATTCTGTGCCACATTGACTGTCTCCTCTCTCTATATCTCTCGCATACACACACACACACATATACACACGTATTTTTTGATAAACCCTTTGTAAGGAAGTTCCAAAACCAATGTAATTCACTCCTAACTTCTTAATTATTTCCTAAGAAGGACATTCTCCTACCTGTTTTTATTCATCCTTAAGATAATGATACTCATCTCACAGTTGCTATGATTCTCATAAGCCAGTAAGAAAAATGGTGCCTGTTTTTCCTGTAACACAGGATTCACTCAATGGAACTGATAAATTCTACTCTACCTACTTCACAAGGTGCATTGCCAGAAGTATGCTCTCTGTAAGCTTCTCAAAGAATAGGAAGTATTGCTGCCCTCCAAAAGTTCACAGTGCTGTAGCAAATGTTGGCAAATCACATGCAATAATACATATGTAAGTACTTAAATTTTATCAACTTTTAGTGCCATGATACACATGAAAGATACTATTTTTCTCTCTTTGTTAATTCCTTTTCTCAAAGAAAATGGGATTTAGGAAAACGGGAAAGCGTGAAAAAACACCAAAGGGACTGTAGTAGCATTTGGAAAACAATTACAGTTTTTTAAAGATGTTTGAAGGCATAGTGACTATGTCTTAAAACTATTTTTTTTTTCTTATCAGAGGAATATATTGTGATTGTACTGCCTTGTAATTTCAGGTATTGTGCACCCTATTAACCGGTTTTCTTTTTAAAAAAAAATTATCTGCATATAACCTTCCTTTTTTCCTTCAACTTTTAAGTTCTAGGGTACACGCGCAGGTTGTGCATGTTTGTTACATAGGTAAACCTATGCCATGGTGGTTTGCAGCACACATCATTCCATCACCTAGGTATTAAAGCCTGCACGCATTAGCCATTCTTCCTAATGCTCTCCCTCCCTGATACCAGAACCCCTTGCCACTGACAGGTCCCCATGCGTGTTATTCCCCCCTCCCCGCCCATGTGTTCTTACCATTCACCTCCCACTTGTGAGAACATGCAGTGTTTGGTTTTCTGTTCCTGCATTCGTTTTGCTGAAGAAAACGGCTTCCAAGTCTATCCATGTCCCTGTAAAGGATGTGATCTTGTACTTTTTATGGCTGCGTAGTATTCCGTGGTGTATATGTACCATATTTTATTTATTCTATCCTTGATGGGCTTTTGGGTTACCACGTCTTTGCTATTGTGAGTAGTGCTGCAATGAACATACATGTGCATGTATCTGTATAAAAGAATAATTTATATTCCTTGGGGTATATGCCCAGTAGGAATCATAGTACTGACTCTTCCAATCCATGAACATGGAATGTTTTTCCATTTGTGTGCTCTCTGATTTCCTTGAGCAGTGGCTTGTGTTCTCCTTGAAGAGGTCCTTCACTTCCCTTGTTAGCCATTTTCCTAGACATTTTACTCTCTTTTTAGCATTTGTGAATGGGAGTTCATTAATGATTTGGCTCTAGGTTTGCCTGTTGGTGTATAGGAACGCTTGTGATTTTCACATTGATTTTGTATCCTGAGACTTTGCTGAAGTTACTTATCAGTTTAAGTGACTTTTGGCCTGAGACTTGAGACAATTTGACTTCCTGACTCTTCCTAATTGAACACTTCATTTCTTTCTCTTGCCTGATTGCCCTGGCCAGAACTTCCCAAATTGTTAAACAGGAGTGGTGAGAGAGGGCATCCTCGCCTTGTGCAGGTTTTCAAACTTTGATACTGGCTGTGGAATTGTCTTAGTTATTACTGTTTTGAGGTATGTTTCTTCAATACCTACTTTATTGAGTTTTTAATATTAAAGGATGTTGAATTTTATTGAAGGCCTTTTCTGTGTCGAGGTAATCCTGTGTTTTTTGCCTTTGATTCTATTTATGTGATGAATTACATTTTTGATTTGCATATGTTGAATCAACCTGGGATCCTGGGAATGAAGCTGACTTGGTTGTGGTGGTTAAGCCTTTTGGTATGCTGCTGTATTTGGTTTACCAATATTTTATTGAGGATTTTTGTGTCTATGTTCATCAGGGATGTTGGCCTGAGTTTTTTTATTGTACCTCTGACAGGATTTGGTATCAGCATGATGCTGGCACTGGCTGTATTTCTACCAGACTTCCAGTCACAACCATTTACATAACGTGTAAGAAGACTGAGGCTGTGTCTACAGCTCTCTTTTTCTGAGTCCTCATGAGAGTCATCCTCATGGTCTGTTCATGACAGAATAGGCTTTCTGCAACATGTTCCTTTATATTTTTCCAGTCTCTTCTCCATAACTCCTTTTGAAGATATTTCCATATTTTCAGGTGTTTCATATAGCAGCACTTCACTCTGCTTACCAATATCTGCCTACGTCTCTTCCTGCTGCTATAACAAATTGTCTTACATAGAGTCATCTATAAACAGCATAAGTTTAATAGTGACAGCTGAGACTGGAGAGTCCAAGATCAACGCACAACAGCTGGTTGGTCTGGTGAAGGGTGCTCTCTCCTTTCACAACAGTGCATTGAATGCTGTGTCCTCACCTGGCTGGTGGATGGACAAGAGGACTAGCAAGTTTGTTCCCTTCACCACTTGTATAAGGTGGTTAATACTTTTATGAAGGCTCCACCCTGATGACCTGGTCATCTACCACTTAATATTGTCATATTGAGTTTCGAGTCTC